CTGCCGGACGCTCGCTTGATGCCGTCAGCTCGGCCGGGTTTGAGAGTTTCTACTCCCCGCCAGCCTCAGTAAAAAGCTAGCCTCGTTGACGGTGCCCGTGAGGGCGGACTTGGCAGCTCCTGCGCCGGTGATCTGGATAGAGAGGTCCGTTTTGGGGACCTCATCACACTACCCAAATTGATGTCAACGGGGCTCAAGGGCTTTGGAGAATTGATACGGGATGTGGTCAAGAGCACGCGCGAGCACCGCCGGCGCTTCATTTGGCCGCGGTCTATGGAATCCTCAATCTGCACTTGCATCCCCTCCTCTGGTGCCCTCGGCGTCCGTTCGGACAAGCTGCCGGGTCGTCTCCCTCCTGCCAGACGTGCAAAAGCGCCACGTGCGCGAACTCGAGCTGGCCCGCTGCGTACTTATCTTGTTCTCTTACTTTACTAGTTCACACGGATCTGACGTGCTCCCACGTTGTCACCGTAATTTGGCCGCTTGAAAACCTCTAGATGAGCACAGAAGCATACAAGTACTCGTCAGCACGACGCAGTTTTCAATCACTGGCACGTTGGCCGGCTGCCACGTCAGCCCCAGGTTGACGAGCGTCTGCTTCGAGTCTTGGACGCTTTGTTAATTTCTACGGACCACTCCAGGCTCTCGGAAGTAAACCCTGTCGCCATTTCCTTGTTCTGAAGCGTGGTTTCCAAGTAATTGCAGTACGAGCTTGCACGTATGCCAGGGAGCCAATTTCTGACGACGGGGACAAAAGGCGCCTTGGGCCAACTAAAAGGCCGGGAGACAGGCTGGAATATTCGCATCTGCCTTTATGCTTATACGGATCATGAAATGCAGGCGAACGGTGCTCAAGGAGCAAACCATCAATAGAATAGGATGAGAGATACGAAAGCGAAAAGCAGAATCAAAAGCGCAAGGCAACAGACTAATCGATTGGAAATGGAGTCAGACTGCAGGAAGACCGAACGGGCGCGAAAGATTCAAAAGATGACGACAGTGGAAACGGAATTGACGGCCGTGATCAACCCAGAACAGGAAGACGAACCAGAACGGGAAGTGGGGACATAACAAGCTGCAGAATTCCATAAGGCCCCAGGCCGCCAAAGCAAGCCGGATACTGGTGGGCAATCCCCCTCTCAAAGTCAGATGGCCCTTGGACCGCCTACGATGAGAAGGCTGGCCAGACTACTAGCAAGAGCGCCAAGTATTGTAGCATCGAAAACGGGGGGACTATTGAAAGGCAAACGGCAGAGTTTGTTACCAGCTTTGAGCCAAAAAGTGTAGACGAAGGAGCGTGGAATAAAAGGACAGATTACATATTGACGTAGTGCCCGTAGCCGAGGCGCCAAGCAGGGCTTGAGCAAGTTATTGACCCAGCACGCACGCTGAGACTACTTTTGGGCAGGACGAAGTGACCCTGACATGTTCGAACGTGTTCACAAAGTGTCTGGTTCAAACAGAGACTTGTTTCCAAACAGAGTCCGGACATGGTCCGAGCCTGATCCACATCTAGTTTGAGTGACGCAATTTATGAGGCTGCACCGATCTGAATGTGTCCGAACTGGATTCGAACTTCTCCGAACCAGACACAAACGGCACTTCAATCCGGAATTTCAATTTGACTTGGTTCGGACAAAGCACAATCGGACTCTGCCAAAACTAGCATCCGGATGATTCAGTGTCCGTCAATGTCAACCTTTGTTGACATTGGCAGTACGTCACGGTGTTGCCTTGATCCAATGTCTCAGATATGTAAGAGTCCAATCTCGCACTCGTCGGTCCTGAACAGACCTCTCGTAACGGAAGAGCGACACAACAGTCCGCCTGCTCTGTGAAACCCGCTGAGCGCCTTGCACTTTGGTAACAAGCAAATTTATGAGAGCCCAGCGCCCCCACGCAAGCATCAAGGACAGCGGAGCCGAGAAAAGCCGAGCCACCGGACTGAGGTGAGCAGTACGTCCTTTCGGATTCATTGAGAAGCCGTATTTTTTCCTGAAGAAGATAAGCAACGTAATAAGAACAGTTATTGTCAGGTCTGATGAGACAAGGCTGTTCTTGCAAGCTTCCTAGTAGTCTCTGTCTCGAGTCACTGAAGGGGCAACTGCTCGCTTTGACTTTGATTCAACGAAGAGTCAAGGACTTTAGCATTTTTCCTGCGCTTCGATGTAGTAAACGAGCTCATCAGTACAATCTCATAAGGACAACAGTAGGTTCTGGGTCGAGGTCGAAGAGCAATTCTGTTTTCCGAAGCTTTGTGACGCCACTGTCGCTCAGGCATTGGGGCGTGTCCAGGCCCTCCTGTCGTTCATTCCAACACCCTGGAGTCTGGATTGACCGACAGGTTAAGAGTACTGGCGAACGGCCCTCTCTCACACACTCCCTTGGTTTCAGTAAGTGTTTTTATAGCAAGCTCTCGAGAAACAAGCCCCGCGTCAAAAGCCCCGCGTCTCTCCGGAGTCTCTCCGCTCCGACAGCCTTCCAGCTAGGGAAACCAGAACCCGAACCGGAATTGAGAAGAGTCCTGATCAGTTCAACCTTTGGCAGGCAGCTAGCTTGGCGCACTGGTCCACTACCAAGCCTCGGTCGTACAACCAGGCTTGGGTTCCCAGGTTCCGTCCTGAATTGAGTTTCTGCCAGCCTAGTTCGCGTTATTCAGGTAACACCTTGTGTAACCAGTCCAGGGCCCGATCACGTGCGCCCAATTCCTCGTGGCATGTTTTGAGTATCTATGGGGGTTTGAGTAGAGAGAGGGAAACAAAAGGGTAGAAAACGTTAACAAAGCAACGTCATGAAACTTTACGTTCGAGGTGCTTAAGGTACTTCTGGTCGTTATCTTGTGGAAAAGCTTTAGCGAGCGAGACATTGAAGACTAGTCAGCAAAGGAGGGAGACAAACAAGACTGTGTCGAATAGAGTTGATCGACTTCGACTGTACAGAAACTCAAGCAGAAAAAAACGAAAAAGCGCAAGATGAAGGTGCTTTACAAGCATGACAATGACTTGAGGCCGCGTGACAGAGACGGGACCAGAACATAGTCGAGTCAGGAGGGAAGAAGAAAGGGGGCCACGTCTTCAATGGAATTGCCCCAACAATTTCTCTTCGAAGTTGGCCTTTAGGGTGCTTCTTGTGTCTCCCCATAATGATGTGTAAGCACACATTCCTACACACTCGGAGCGCTCGGCTCGTGTTTATTTAGGCGATTAGACAGGGAGTAAGGAGCAAGGGAGAAGAAGCACCGTCTCTACTATGTCGAGTCGGAAGTCAGAAGACTCTCGCTTCAACTCGTACGTATCAAACAACCAGCGGTCTGCAGCGCTTTTCTTTTCAGCATAGGAACTGACTATGATGAATGCACATCTCAACTAGATTTACAACGTCGGTGCCGCGTACCTCAATTCTTGAGGATGCAGGCTAAAAGGAACAATGAAATTCGAACCTTGCACATCTCGCAAAGAGGGAAAGAGGGAGCGCCGACCTTGAACGATGGTGCCAGCGTGAGGAGATGAGGAGAAATTTCCTGACTGGATAAGATCGTCTTATTCATCTGCTCGAATTCACGCAGCTCAGTGGCCTCCGGATTCCGCGACCTGGTCCATGCACGCCAGCGCCGGCGACGGCCAACGGGCCTCTGCACAGCGCCTTCAACAGACGCTCGCCTCAGCTCTCGATGCTCTCAAATCAGACCCCTTCAATAAGGGAGGACGACGTGGGACATGTCCCACACGGCGACCAGATGCCTGATTTACTTTTTTTGGTAGTCGCTCGGGAAATTCCACGTGGGCTGATTCTGCAGCGACGGCCGGCAGCCGATGCAAGTTGTTTAGAATCAGATGTCGCCGCGAGCCAAATTTAGACGCCCTGCTCTAAAATACCTATGCAGCAGGGGTGCTGCGCGGGGCGCCAAATGCTGGCGCCCCCGGGCGGAAGCCCGAGGCGCCAGAGTAGCCATAGCGTCCTGGGCCGCAGGGCCCAGGCCCGGCCTAGTGGTGGCCTAGTTTCGGAATCAGGTCCAGGGCCCAGGCCGCCTCAACCGAGAACTCTCAAGTGATTAACTACCAAATTACAGAGGATTGCAAGGCTCCACGGCACATATCACGACACAAAGGAAGCGCTAGCCCTGCATATGTTCCAGGAGCTAGAAAATGCACTCATTTCTGATTGATTGTACTAATCCATTTTTTGGAAGACAGCCTTCGAGCCTGGGTATCTTCATTGCAAAATATCATATCTGCAAGGATATGCTTCCTAAGAAGCCAGATGTCTTGAGCAGCTGCCCAACTTACGTCCAGTAATATGGACAAATTTGGCTCGGTTGTACACAACCACCGCCGCAAAATCCGGGGACATATCGTGCCGGGCTCTGGCGCCTGGGCCCGGCTGGCTTGGAGGCTTGGGCGCCCCAGGGAACCTGGTTGGCGCTCCGAGGCGAAGCCCAGGGCCAGGGGCGCCACAGCACCTCCGGGCAAAATCCTGTCGGCACCCCTGCTTTGCAGGATTGCAGATCGTGCGACCACTGACGAGCCGACTACCCGGAGCAAAGAATAGTAAATAGAAGGGAGTGTAAACCGGGGAATTTGTGACCATCGCAACAAAGCTCTGAATCGTAAATTAAAATACCGAGGGTATTCACATTTTCTGACACTCAAAACGGGCACCAAATGGCAGGTCGACGCTCGAGATGCGGAGTGCCCGTCAGAAGCTTACAACTGGCAGCACCACAACCGCCTTCGTATCTGGTCAGTGGTCAACCAATCCTAGCCTTGCAGTAGGTATCTTGGTACAGTATCCTACCGATTCTACGGGGTACGGTATTGTATTACCGGTACTTTATCTACCGTGACACCTTCAAGACTCAAGTTGAGGCTACGGTAGCTAGGATACGGTACTGTCAGTGTTTTTAGCACATGATGCATGGTGTACCTACCGGTATACTCATACTGCGCAGTGCGGTGTAACAAGCAAGATGGCCCTAGCTGAGGACCCTTGGGCCTTGACATCAGGGTTGAAGTTTGAACCATTGAAGCACCACGCCGGGCTCACAGGCAGCAAGTTTTTTGGCGTTTGTGGTTCCGTCACACGTGTGTCGCCCAAGCGTTTGTCACACCACCTCTAGGCTCTCGAAATATCTATTCCAACATCAGACGCAGAGTCGCAGGCCTCAAAACCACATTGGCGCAAAAAGCATCCGCATCCGCATTAATGTGAGCACTCCCTCATCAAGCGCAGCATCACCTCGTCCTGCCACTCAGGCTGCATTGCATTCCCCTTTTGCTGAGGAATAATGGCGCACCTCGCGGGTCCCGGCATTCGCATTCTCGCCATTGCGCTGCTGACGGTGTTGTGCGCGTCCAATGCTGCTGCCCAGGGCATTCTTGCCCCCTGCAACCTCACGACGGTGAACTACTCAGCATACACCCCGTAAGTTTTCTTCATCATGTTTCCCCTTCTGTCATGTGGCGCCATCTTGTGGGGCTCAAGAACATCTTTACAAGAGTTTAGAGTCCCCTTTTCTTGGTGGGAGTCACCTGGTTTTCAATGCGCCAGCGCCAAAAATAAACATCAGCGATTTCTTTAGAGCTAAGTTTGGCGGAAGCGCGTGTGCCGCATTGTTGCGGTCAAATATTGGCATAAAGGTTTGGAAATGCTGACCCTAAGTCTTGAGTCTCCTAAGCATCTGTATTGGAAGGGCAGAATTCATGTGGGGTCAGCCACGCAACTGATCCAAAAGGGAATGCATTGCACAGGTCACATTGAAATTCCAGGCAACTGCAAAGGTTGCAGTAAGGAGAAGCTGTCTCCTCTACTGTGGTACATTATGGCTCAAGTTGAAGGCTTTCTTTGGGCCTAGATTTTCTTGCCATTAAAGATTCGATATCTTGAGCTAAACCAGGGAGTGTGAGAATAGACGTTATCAACTTGAGCTTGTCGGATGCGCATGGCAACCATGCCGCAACGCTGGCGAAAGTTCCCATTGACCCATAGTATGTGTTTGGAAATGATAAAGCTACAAGTGACACTTCTGAATATGTGTAGTGTAGTGTCATGGCCAGCTGGCAAGTGAGGTCAGCCACTCCTTTGACTTAGAAAGGCATTGCATTGCACTGGTCAAACTTGAATGTGACCAGTGCAACCTTTGCAGTTGCCTTCAATCTCAAGGCAACTGCAAAGGTTTACATAGGAAAAGGTGTCTCCTTTGATCCTTTTCTGTGTTGCATTTTGCTCCGAGTTGTCTTTCTTTCATTCCTAGGTCACGGTTGGCCATTATCAAGCTAACCCAGAGATAACCATAATTGACATGAGCTTGCCCTGAGGAATTTGTTGACTGCATATGCTGCGATTCTTTCCTGTTTTAGTTTCATCTGAGAGCTTCTTCCGTGGGCGCTGTAACACAAACAGAACTGAGCTCCTTACAGAATATGGTTCTGTGACCACTTGAAGGAATACAGGTGTACTGCTTCACATCCAAGCCTCTGTCTTGAAAGCCTTGTTCTGGCCAAGAAGTGACTATAGCAGCTCTCAAAGTTGTCACTTTTCTCAGATCTGCAGATCTAGCTTCCAAGGCCCAAGCGCATTGCATGCACAGCTGATGTCAAGATTGTATGGTTTGGTTGCCCTTCTGCTCTTCTTGACGGGTGTGTTTGAGAAGGCAATGCCACTTCAAACTGCATCATCCAAAGCCCCAAGTTTTCCGTTCTGAAGACCTTCTACTTGTTTGCTGAGGTGGGTTCTCAGAAAGGCTTTCAAGGAGGGCCACAGACTCCCGGAAGTCAGTCATCAAGGGGACGCTACCTATAGCGTCTAGATAAGATCAAATTCTGTGACGAGCGGCGCAAAATAAGTTTGACTTTCCAATCCCCTCAGTTATCTTCCAACGTCTTTGAGTGGGACCTAAACCAGAGACCTTTCCAAGACCCATACCTAAGATGGTTGACAGTCGATGTGGTGGACTTTCTGCCAAGCTGGTAATCATAGTCAAGGAAGATAATGAGAAGCAGATTCGAAGTCAAGGGAAGCGGGACTGGGACAGGTAGAGTTGCTTTGGGGGTTAAGGATGGGAAGGGGTATAGAGCACGGGTTGCATTGTTTGTGTCAGTCGACACTAACCATCATCTTGGCTTATATCATTACGTTAATAAAGCTGGCGACCCTTACAATGGTCAAGTTGATTGCAAGAGGAAGGGGAGGCATCACCCTCTCAAATCTGCAGGAATCAGCAGGAAGACTATCCCATTGTGTTCTAAAGTGGCAGCTCATGTGCCTCCGCGAATTACTGAGTCATGCTTCGTCAAAGCCCGTCAACTGCAGCAATCTCAGTCCACTCACACAAGCTCAACATGCACATGGGCTCTATTCGAGCTCAACCAGTGAACCACTTTCCGGCGGTCAAAATTTGTTGTGGGTGGCTGGTTCTGAAATCCAAGCTGTTCTTTCAGGTGCTACACCTTCAACAGTTCAACGCCCTTCTGCTGCCCCACCCCAAGCACCAGTTGCTGCGGTTTCGCCGTCATGCAGCCCACCTGTTGCTCGACCACAAACGGGTCGGTTGTCTTCACCCAAACCCCTTCCCCGACCACGGCTGCCCCGACCACCCCCGCCCCGACCACACGCCGGCCACCGGTTACGCCCGCCTCCGACCACACGCACGCCACCAGTTACCGCCCGCTCCGACCACACGCCGGCACCGGTACGCCCGC